CGTGAGCCCGCCCCTTGGCCAGGGCGCCGCGGTCAGGTGGTTGCCCACGCGCCACAGCTCTCCCGGCCCTGCCAGTCCTCTTAGTCTTTCCTCAGCGTGGTCGCCCTTGATTGTCCTGGCCCCCAGCCTGCCTTGCCTGTGTCTCTGGCAAGGGAGGGTGACTCCCATTCCAGATGTTACAGCCCGCTCTGGAGCCTCAGCCTGCGGGGGGTATTTGGGTGTACCACAGAGGGCCCCAAGGGATGCCGGAAGGTTGTCCCCGTTCTGGCGTGGGCCCAACCCAAGGTTTGGACCTCGCAGACCCCACGGGAACTCTGGAATGAGATGTTGACCGACTACCTTCTCCACCCCCGCCCTCTGCTCTGGCGGATCAGCAGACCCTGGACTTTGATCTTTCCCCCTCAGGCCAGGGCAGCTGATGGTTGTGGGCAAGCTACCTCCAGGTAGCTGGGCCGGCCCCCTCTTCCCCACCTACCTCTCGTCCTCCCCCCACATCTCCATCACCCTGGCTCCCCTCCCTCATGACCGCCTGGATCCTCCTTCCTGTCAGCCTGTCAGCATTCTCCATCACTGGCATATGGACTGTGTGAGTAAAGTGGGGGACACGGGCGCTTGAGGGCACACACAATGTTCCTTGTCCTGTTGTAGGCTCCAGGGTGGTACCCATAGTCACTCTGTCTTCAAAGCCTGGCCTGGTGCCTGGGCACACAGCCCCGTGGGACAAGCTGGCACCACTGCTGCCCAGCAGGATGGCACTGGCAGGCCTACTTTGAGCCAGGACAACTTCCAGAGGGGCTCTAGTGGGGGGCCATGCCACCTTCTCAGGGGAAGCATCAAAAGGCAGCAGAAACACACACTTCTCAGCAAGGACAGTGAGGTGGAGGAGTCCCTGGGAGGTGGCTGGGGTGGGAGGGACATGATGGGCAGGGTGACAGTTCTGCTCCTGCAGGTATGCCATGGCTGTGATGAACCGCCACGTGTGCCCCGTGGAGAACTGGTATGGAGCACTCTGCAGTCAGCCTCACTCTAAAGCTCCCTTCATCTCTGTCCCCTCTTGGGCCCTCAGCTGCCATGAGCCAGACGGAGACCCTGGGCCTCACTGCTCTTCTCTGACATTGGTCCCAGGCATGGCTTCCTGCCCATCTACCTACTATCCACCATCCCTTCACCCATTTGGCTTCTGTTCCAGGCAGGCCCTGGGGAGTAGACTTTTGTGCCTTTGCTGGGGAGGTCTGGGAGAGGGTCTTCTTTGAGGCCTGATTACAGGCCAAGGGCTTGGGGGCAACCCCTTCCTGGAGTCTACTCGGTGTCCTGCCTGCCAGGTCCTACAACGAGTCCTGCTCTCCTGACCCTGCCGAGCAAGGGGGCCCCAAGACCTGCTGCACCCTGGATGATGTGCCGCTTATCAGGTAGGTCCCACAAAGTGTGCAGGTCAGAGAGATCCAAGGCTTCCAGACTTTCAGAGAACCCTTGAACCAAAGGACTAGCTGCAGGTCACAGAAATAATCATTACACTAAGAGCTACTTAATAACAAATACTGCATTACTTGCCCCAAGCGCTGAGTACTTTATATGCTTGGTGTCTGAATCCTCCCAGCAGGGAGGCCACTATTGTGTTCACCATTGCATAGGTGAGAAATTGGAAGCTCAGAGTTACTCCTCCAGGTCCCACAGCTAGTAGGACAAGACATCTGGATTTAAGCTCAAGCACTGTTTGCCCAGCCCAGGTCCTGGTTCAAGGCAAACCAGATGGACCTCAGGCCTCAGGCCCATTCTCGTTATCTCATGCACACCCAGGCTGTGCTGGGGGAGGGGAGGGAAAGGGCTCAGTTCCTAAGGGACACTGGCCCTCCTCATAAATCAGTGGCTTGCCTGCTAAGGAACAGGCACTGATAAAACGGGCCAGATGAGGGTCACTGGTGCGCCTGCATCTCACTCTGTCCTGCCCTGTCCCCTCAGCAAGTGTGGCACATATCCCCCAGAGAGCTGCCTCTTCAGCCTCATTGGCAACATGGGTGCTTTCATGGGTGAGTTCTCCCCTCGGTCCAGCCTCACCAGCCCCCTACACACCCTCTTCCCAGAAAGACTCAGAAGCCCTTGATCCATGCAGCCCTCCTCACCAAGTGCTAAGGCAAGAGGGGCAGCTTCTGTCCTATCCCTTGAAAGCCTTTCAAAGGCTGACTCCCACACAGCCACTGGCTGACTGGAGCCTGAGGAAACCTAGTTCACCACCAGCTGTCCAGCCCCTTCCAGCCCTCAGAAGGGCAGGAACACAAAGTCTCTGGGAAGCTGGTGGGCAGGCGGGGCTGGTGGAAGGTGCTGGGCCGGCCCCAGCCATGCTTTCTTCCTGCAGTGGCCCTGATCTGCCTCCTGCGGTATGGTCAGCTCCTGGAGCAGAGCCGGCACTCCTGGGTGAACACCACGGCGCTCATCATGGGCTGCACCAATGCTGCAGGCCTCGTAGTAGTTGGCAACTTTCAGGTGCTCCACCTCCCCTTCAACTCCCGCTAGTAGGGCCGGGTTGCCTACATAGGCAGTAGTGTCCTGAGGCTGGAGGTCAAGGGAGGACTGGGAGGGAAATGAAGAAGGAAGAGGGAGCGGGAGTGTGATGGAGGGCGGATGGTGGGGCCACCTCATGGATTAGCCCATCTGTCCGGGCCAGGTGGACCACGCCAAGTCTCTGCACTACGTTGGAGCTGGTGTGGCATTGCCTGCAGGGCTGCTCTTTGCCTGCCTGCATTGTGTGCTCTCCTACCATGCGGCCACCTCGCCCCTGGATCTGGCTGTGGCCTACCTGCGAAGTGTGCTGGCTGTCATCGCTTTCATCACCCTGGTCCTCAGTATCCTTCCAAGGAAGGGCAGCCAGGAACACATCCTCTGGGTCACAGACCCCAGTGGGGTGGGGCCTGTGTTCCAGCCAACACTGCCCACTTGGACTTCTGATCCCTGGGAAGGCCTGAGCCTTCACCCCAGCCTAGTTAAGTATCTGGGCCTGCAGAAAGGTGTTGTATGTTCTTGTGCATTCTACCTAACATTTCCTTAGCCCCATCCCAGGCGGCGTCTTCTTCGTCCATGAGAATTCTCAGCTACAGCATGGGGCAGCTCTGTGTGAGTGGGTGTTCGTCATCGATATCCTCATTTTCTATGGCACCTTCAGCTATGAGTTCGGGGCAGTCTCATCAGACACACTGGTAGCTGCACTGCAGCCTGCCCCTGGCCGGGCCTGCAAGTCCTCAGGAAGCAGCAGTACCTCCACCCACCTCAACTGTGCCCCTGAGAGCATTGCCATGATCTGAGGTCAGGAGGGTGGCTGGCCCGGCCTCCACAGCACCCCGCCTCTTCTCTTCTTTGCATTTATTTTGTACCAAAAACAATTTTCAGAAAGTGTTCTGTTGGGATCTGGGCTTCCTCGCTCCTAGAGAAATGGCCATCCCACATCCACTGTGCCATAGAGGAGCAGGCCCGGCCAGCTGTCTCAGCCATATGTCCTGCTCCCTGCACCACAGTATTGTTTTGTGTTTAAAAGGTCACCTTCCTCACTCACCCAGCCAGCCCTTCAGGTGCCTTCTCCCAGTGCCAGAGCCAGACCACTGGGGTTTCCTGCTGCAGGAATTGGGGGCTGGGAACAGCAAGAGAGATTCGAGTCTGGGGGTGGGAGGAGCACGCCTTAGCCTACAGTAAAGGCCCACTTCTGGGCCCACTGAGCTACACTGGGATTCTTCACTCTGCCCTTCACTTCCCTTAGGACAAATAACACAGCAAAACTATGTGGGTATTTTAGTACTTTTTTTATATCTATTAAAAGAACTCTAATTTGCATGTTTGTAGTCAGTTCTCGAGAGACAGTGAAGGCCTCGTCCAAGGTGGCTTTCCCAGAGCAAGCAAGCAATGGGAGGATGCCCTTGCCCCCAAGGTGTGCCTCCAGTGTCCAGTGTTCTTTAAGAACAAGTGGCACCACGCCTGCCTGGCAAGCCCAAAGTCCTGAGTTTGATCCCCGTACCAAAAAAAAAAGGCTGGCTTGGTGTTTAATCCTAGCACTCAGGAGGCTGAGGCAAGAGGATCACTGAATTTGAGGCCAGCCTGAACCACATGGCGAGACCTTGTCTCAAGGGGGAAAAAAAAAAACAAAAACAGGTTTTCCAGGTGCTGTCCAAATGCCCACAAGGTCTTGAAGCCCTTTCTGGGTCTTTAAACAGTCTAAAGAGCTGACCTGGCCTGACAGTTTTGCTTCTTTCCCCCACCTCAGAATCTGGGTTGAACTTTGATTCCTTAGTCGGACAGAGAATGGGGGAGGTGACACAGGACAACTCTAAAATGTTAAAAGTAGTTTTCTCTGTCAAGCTAAAGAAAACCCCCAGGAGTTCAAGTTTAACTAATGGTTCTAAGATTAACTAGAACTTGGAGAGGTGGGGGTGGTAGTGGGAGTTAGTTTATCAGCTTTAAATAGCCACAGAGTAAGCAGGGCTTGATGGCACATGCGTGTGATCTCAGCACTCAGGAGGCTGAGGCAGGAGGATTGCTGTGAGTTTGAGGCCAGTCTGAACTACATAGCAAGACCTCATCTCAAAGACGGGAAGAAAAAAAAAAATAGCTACAGGGTAGTAGGCCCTGACATAGTTTGCCTTCCAACTACAAACAAGCCCTAGCTGGTCCAGTGGCCAGTTTGTTTGCCTGGGTCCCATTGCCCCTAGTCCAATAGGCCAGCAGTGGGGAAATACAGTCTGGTGCCTTCTGCAGTTTACCTTCCCCAATAGCAGTAGGGACCTAATGGAGGATACAGGGCCCCTACTTCAGCCCATGAGCAATGCAGTGGCAGGGTGGGTTAAGAAACCTTTAATAAGGACTCAGGGTACAAGAGAGATGTGAGGGGAGGAACACTCAGCTTTTGCCTCCTCACATGTACATAGCCCCGTGGAGGTTCTCCAGTCGATGCTGCTGCTGCTCCTTTCGAGCCTGGAAAAGAAAACACGTCAGGGCCAACCTGAAGACATGGTAGGTTAGGGCCAGGGATTTAGCTCAGTGGCACCCTGTCTGCCTTGCAAGTGCAAGGTCCTGAGTTCAATCTCTGGTACCAAGAAAAAAAAGACTCATGGGTAAGGGGGTAGGGTATTGTGATAGAACTGGGTCTCGGGGTTTTCAGTCCCCTAAGCATCCACATTGCCAAGGTGTTAGTCCTCACCGTAATCATTGGGAAGTGGCCAGAGCCAGGGAGTCAGAGGCCTACCAAGGCCTGCCCAGGAGGGAAATGGAGTGAGCACAGTGGTCGGCCCCTACCTGATCTCGTCTGTGCTCCTCGTAAGCGTCATCATCAGTAGGCAGCTCATGGCGGCACAGGGGGCAGGAGTTGGTCTGAAAAGTAGGACAGTGTTCCACCTGGGTCTCCTCTGGACTAATCACCCTGCCCTGCTCCCAATTCCCACCTCTACTCCCACCTTTCTGTGATCCCTGGAACAGTCTGACCAGAGAGAAGCCTGAGAACTGGGCCCCAGGGAGGGAGGGGGTCTGGAAGAGGGGAAATAGTACCTTGCTTAGCCAGGGCAGAATGCAGCTGGAATGGAAGAGGTGATGGCAAGGCATCTCAATGACAGTCTCCTCCTCCTCAAATTCCAAAAGACACACGGGGCACTTGAGATCTTGAGGAGGGAGTGCTGATCAGGAGACCTGCCACAGCCTTACCCCGCCCCACCCAGCTCCCACTCCTGAGCAGTACTCTTGCCCCAGCCCGGCCTGGAAAACGGACGGGTTTGGGGGAAAAGGTGTCTGGCAGACTTGCCTCAGATAGCAGAAGGAATTAGTTTCCTCACCAGCCTGAGAGGTGCTGATGATTGTCCTGGGGAGGTTTTCAACCACAGCCTTGGCAGCAGGTGGAGGCAGTTGGTGCTCCCAGTCTACTACCAAGCCCAGGTCTTCAAGATCCATCATATTGGAAAGGGATCTGGGAAGGGTGCCAGGTCAGAACCAAAGAAAACTTTCTCTTTTCCCTATACCCACATTAATAAATACCCTGCCCAGCTACTAGTAATAATAACTATCATTAGTACCTATGTAGAAGCTCACAAGATAAAGAGGACAGGGTGAAATGGTTTACAGCTCTGACCAAATAACCCAGCTCGCAGGCTGTTTATTTTCATTTTACACATGAGGCAACAGGTAAGGAAGTGACTCAGGCCCCATAGGACTGGCCTGATAAAGTCAATTCAAGTCACCAGTGGGCTTCCCTGCTTGCTGTTCACATAACCATGGCCCCTACCCAGAGCCACCATGACCCATCTTCCTGCTTCTTACAGCCTGCTGGCCTCCACGCCCACCACTCCAGCTCAGTCCAATCCCCTTGCCCGACCCTGCCAACAAGGACCCGAACTGTCGACACCCGCTTAACACTCCAGATTTTTCATCCATCCTTCCTAGAATCTGCTGCTGTCCCTTCTTCAGTCAGCCCCAGACCAGAAACCTAGACAGCAATCTGGGCTCCAGCTCCGACCGCCCCCCCTCCCCGCACCCACCTCGCGAGCTGCAGCAGCATATTGAATCCGGTCTCGTGTTCATGGTCTGACAGCTCACAGTCGTGTTCATCGAAATAAGACGCCATGGCTACCCGGCTGTCTGTCAGACAGCCCTCCGACCCTAGATTGCTGCTTGACAGCGCTGGCCAATAAGCTGGCGAGTTTAGAGAGGAGGTCCAATAAGAATAATTCTAGGGCGAATATAGGGGGTTGCTAAAGGTACGAAAGCGGAAGTATGACTCTGTCGCCTCTCATTGGTCACATTAGTCAGGTGCTCAAAGACTAAAAGCCAATGGGCGAAGAAAGAGTAAATTGACGGGAGTTTCTGGCCTGGTCTAGGCAGTAGTACCCTGAGAAGCCAGTGTGTGGACTGAGAAGGTCCTCTGTGTACCCCGAGGCCCTCAGGTGCTAGAGACACTGGAAGGCGCTGTCCCTTGCTGAGCGTTCGCGAACCTGGAGTCGGAGCGCTTCCCGCTACTCTGCGGCGACCCCCGCCTGGCACTTCTACCCTGCTGCCCTCTAGTTGGGTCCGGAGTTTACAATTGCTTTCTCCCTAGCCCCTGGGGCGGGGAATTCCAGCGCATTTTCTTCTGTATTAGGCACAAGATAAAGGGTGAGACAAACATCCCAACCACGGTACAACTGGAGGCCTCACCAGCTCTTGGAACTGTGTGACCTTTAGCCTATTGGTCAACCTCATCGCCAGTATAGCATCTAGAAAACTACTTTGTTTCGATTTTGTGGTATTAAGAATGAAGCCCAGGGGCCTTCTCATTGTTACATCCCCAGCCTTTTGTTTTGGTTTGGTTTGGCTTTCTGAGGTTGTGTAGTTCAGGCTGGCCTTGTGGCTGTCATCCTGAGGGCTGGGTTTACAGGTATGCACCATTGCCCTGAGGGGACAGTATAAATTTGGGGGGTGATTGTACTGTCAGGCAGGGTTGAGAATCACTGTGCTCATGATTTACTTTGATGGGTGGATATTTTACAAATGGTACCAGTAACACAATAGTCCTTGAGCTAAGAATCCTTGACCAGGGGCTCTCAGCAGCATGCTAAAAACGGCTACACTCCTAACTCTTGTTATGTATGTAAAACCCTAGTCTCACAAATGACTTGCCCAAACTGACACAGCCTAGAAGAGGTGTTGCTAACTGCAGGGCTAAGTGCTTTCCTCCATTTCTCCCAGGACGGGAAGATGCCAATAAGCCTAATGAAAGTAACAGGCTATGCAGAGTCAAACTTCACAGAACTCTCAGGGCTTGTTTTGTTTGTTTGTAGCTCTCACTCTTCTTAACAAGAACCGGTTTATTGTACATACTTGATCCTGAATTCCCCTTGCCATTCACACTTGAGTTGGAACTGCAGTTAAATAACCAAGACAGAGGATGCCCTCTTACACAGCCTTGGTGCTTTCTTTCCTTCTTTTATGCCCTTGCCTGTAGCCCTGAAGGCACTGGCTGCCTGGTTGTGTGGCCCAGAAGACTGAAAAGCTTGAGTTCTTTAATGTAGGACCAATCTTTTGTGACCCTGCATGACAACACCATAGAAGTGTCCTTGTTTTCACTCCACTTGCCTCATTTGCAGTCTAATATGAAGCTAAATGAAGAACATGGCATAGGCTGAGAAACTGGGGAGGGAGACCTTTCGGAAGGGGAAGCCTACCTGAACATAAGAGCCTCATGAAAACATCTCTAGTGCTTTCCTCTTTGCCCTTCCAACTAGCACCCCATTGATATTCTGAGCACCCACATATCAAAACTAATAAATTTCATTTTCAGGGAAGCAGGTTTGAGGGGCTGGTCTGGGGGCTGTTGTTTCTGCACCCACACTCCAGGAAGGTTTGTCTGTGTAGGTATTGATGCAAGTAGGGAAGAGTAAAGGAGGGACCACCTAGTGGGGTGGAGGTCCGACAGAAGTAAACAACCTGAGACGCACATGCATGAGCTTTTAACCAAACAGCAGCTTTTACTGGGCTTCAGGTGGGGCTGGCCAGGTGGGGCTGGCCAGGCATGGCTGGCCAGCAGGCTGCCCTCGAGGGCCAGTCTGTGGCATTGGGGACACAAAGGCACACACATTACCACTGCCCTTCAGCACTCACTGGGGTGGCTCCACGGGAGCAAACTCCAGGATTCTCTGGAGACCAGAACTGGCCAATGGGACCACTAGGCCTCTCCCCTGGGCCCAACTGGGTCAGTCTCCAGGCCTTGAGGCAGTGCCTACATCCTGGGCCTGTGGGGCCCCACTGTCCCTGCTGCTCTGTGGGAGAAAGATGACCAGCAGCACAATCAGGATGATGAGCAGACCACCGGCTACCACCAGCCCCAGGTAGATCCGGCAACGGATGTTCTTCCAGCGCTTCTTCTGGGCCAGGGTCTTGGTTGTCTTGCTGAAGGCAGAGCTCTGTGGATGACCAAGACACAGGGTGGGAGTTAGCAGTTCCCATAGGGTCTCAGAGCCAGCTCCAACCAACCACATTCTGGAAGGGGCTGCTCTCCCCCTGCATCCTCCTCATACTGCCCTTGATGTCCACACAAGCTGCCTGGGACACTCAAGTCTGGCTCCTGCTCTAAGACGCTCGAGTAGCCCTTGACTTCAGCCCTTTGAGCACACCTCCAGTTAGTAGAGCTGGTCCCAAATCCTTAGAAAGGTCCACAGCTTTAAGCCAATGACATTTTTTTTTTTAAACTGGGCTACATCCTTAACCCTTTCTAAAAATTTTGAGACAAATACTCACTAAGTTATCCAGATTGGGCTCAATTTTCGATCCTCCTGCCTCAGCTTCCTGGAATGTTGGTATTACATGCCTATGCCACCATTCCCAGCTAAAACCAGAAACTTCTTGCTCTGTGAGGCCTATCTGTTACATATCTACAACTGAGTGCTTCAGAAAACCCAGAGGCTTCACACTGGCCTCAAAGAGTCCCCCCTGGCAGTAGCCTGGAGACCCTAAGCATGGCCTAAGGCCTTCCTCTGAGGATTCCACCAAACCTCTCCCTCTCCCTCTCCTCCCTGCTCCCAGGCCTCAAACCATGTCCAGGAGTTGGTCTGAACGCTGCTCCAGCTCTGCCAGCTTCCCGTCACGCTCCAGGACCTTGTCGAAGTTGTTGAGCATGATTTCGGTCACCTCGTTCGCCTGCTGCTGGCATCGCTCCAACTCTTTCCCTGCCTGGGCACCAAGGCCAAGGTCAGGGCTGCAGGAGCCCCCACCCACCCCTCACCAAGACCTCAAGCTTCTCTCCCCAACACTGTGCATGGGTATAGCACGTGGTAGCATCCTTCCAGCAAGAGCACACTGCCCTGTGCAACGTGAAGGGCTGGCTCTGTGAGTGGGTGGGGCTTCCCTTGGGTTTCCCTGGGTGCTCCTCTTGCCCATCAAGATGGGGAGGAAGTCAGCTCTGGCTTTGAGCATCTCAGTGACCTCTGAGCTTCTCAGGACCCTCCCGCAAAGCCCACACTTGCTCACTAGCTCCAGTGTATGCCTGGAGACCAAATGGCAGGGAGACTCAGTCCACAGGGCCAGGAAGGCACTCTGGGACCAGTCCATACCATTGTCTGCCCAACTGCTCCTCCAGAGCCGCGATCAGGTTCAGATCTCCCTCCTCAGCCCCTGACCAGTTAGGCCATTTCTACCTCCTGGCCCAGCCAGCTCCCCAACCTCAGTGCCCACAGTCACTCCCTCTCCTCCTGGGAGCTCAGCCATCCTGGCCTCTGGGCTCCAGTCTTCCATTTGGCCAGTCCTTCCTGGGGTCTAACTCATCAAGGTGAGACCCACCACCCTTGTGCTTCCTAGGCTGGGCGGCAGCTCTTCACCTAATCAACACCCAGCTCCTTTCAGGGGACTGGGAAAAGAAGGGCAGGGTCCAAGATGGAGAAGAGGAGCGGGCAGGGAGAGTGAAAGTCTGATTTGGTTGTGAGAGAGGCACGGAGCTCAGGAGGTGTGTTGGCTCATGATGTAATCCCAGCACTCTGGGAGGCTAAGGTAGGAAGACTGCAAATTTGTGCCCTACCTGGGCAACCTAATGACTTAGAGATAACTTGTCTCAATTTTCTTTTTCTTCCCCGTGGTACTGGGAATTGAACCCAAGATCTTCACACTGAGCCACATCCCCAGCTCTTTTTAAATTTATTTTTTGTTTTTAAACAGGGACTTGCCACTATACATGGGTCAAAGGAAAAGGAAAAAAGAAAAAGGGTAGTGATGTAGCTCAGTGCAAAGGCCTTGGGTTCACTCTAATACCAAAAAAACAAAACAACAAAACAGAAAAGAAAGCAAAGCACTGAGCTCTGGGTGCGTGCGACAGAGACCCACAGCAGGAGGCCCTGGAGCAAGCTAAGGCCCAGGGGCAGGGCCAGGGACGCTGCGGGAAGATGAACACTGAGGACTGGCAAGCCACAGCCCTTCCCTCCCCTCTGCCTGGTCCTCCAAAGCCATCCGGCTCTATCTCTTCCTCACAGAGAGCACGGGCCAAGCTCCCTTTCCTGCTGGCCCCCATGGCCCATTGTCTGCAGCTGACACGCTGGCAATGGACTGAATTCCACTGAAAACCAAGAAATGAAGTGTTGGAAAGGATCCGGAGGCCACAGAGGACCACTTCCCACTCAAGCGCGAATGCTCCTTCAGTTCTCGAAGCAGCCTTGCATACAGCCCTGGGTTTTTGCAAGCCTTGGCTCCCCATTCGAACCCCAGACTCTGCTATGTAACCCAGAGGCCTGCACAGTGCTGACTGCTGTGAGGACTCAGGGAGCCGCTCTGTTGCTTTATAGCCCATCCAAAAGTAACTCTGTTCTCAAGAGAATTTCGCCCTGTGTGCTTCTAGCCCAGCAGGAGTTTCGAGGGGCAGGAGTCTGAAAACCAAACAGGTCGATATTTACCCATGAGCTAGAAAAACAACCTGCTTTGAGGGAGGCAGGCAAACCACTGGCTGGGGCGGGGCGCACTCCCAGCCCGGGGACCCGGAATAGTGAAGAGCAGAGAAGCCTCATAATCCCTACCTTACCCCGAGCCGACCATCATCACTACCAGGTTATTTGGCCAACAAGGCAGTGGGACAAGGTCTCCCTATGTAGTCCAGGCTGGACTTGAACTCAAAGCAATCCTGCCTCAGCTTCTCAAAAGCTGGGATTACAGGCGTGCACCACTACCACACTCACTTCATTATTTGAGCCTCTGAATGCTCGTACATTCCAACAGCCCAACGCAGCAACTTGGGAATGGACAAAGATTTGAAAATGAAAATGAGTGCTAGAGATTGGTGGAATGCCGGATGTTATTTTTTCCATTCAGAGCCTGACAGCTGTTGTTATCTTATTCTCACACAAGGGGTGACATTGGGTCATATTCTCCAGAGGGCTGCCAGTGTCTCCCGCTGCAATCTGGAGCAGTCTGCGAAGTCAGGCTGGTCTGGGGCCAAGCTGGACCCAGGCCTAGAGAACATATGTACACCGGGAACACAGCCACACGGCCCCAGCCCTCCTTGGTCCCCCGAAAACAGAGGTAAAAGGACATGAACAGGTATCTGAAGGCCCCGGGAGATAAAGAGCTAGGTTATGTGGGAAGGCAGAAACCAGAGGGCAGGGCCTCCCTGCCCTGGGCCTTCCAGCTTCAGATAGTGCGTGGCAGGTGATGGCATGGGAGAAATGTTTTCTGAATGAATTGGGCCTGTCTTTAGGGAGATAGAGACATGTGTGACACAGAAAAGGCAAGGAGTTACAGTGGGCAGTATAGAGTAAGCACCACAGTCACCCACAGAGAGGGTGAGGCTGCAGCAATGACAACTGCTGGGCAGCTGAGACAGGAGGGTTCCTGTGAGATCAAGGCTAGCCTGAAGTACACAGTGAGACCGTCTCAAAAGAAAGCTTTTTCTTTGTTTTTGGTTTTTGAGACAGGGTCTCGTTATGAAATTCAGGCTGGCCTTGACTCACTATGTCTTCCTGTCTCAACCTTTTGGGTGATGAGATTATAGGCATGTGCTACTACACCCGGTACTCCAAATTAAAAAAAAAAAAAGTGAGAATTGCCATTGGAAGAGAGGGTGACCCCCAGAAGGATGGGTGGAGCTGGGGCATTCTGGCACAAATAGCGCACACCCCAACAAGGAAGAACCCAGCAGGGGGGAAGTGTAGAGGGGAGGGTGGGGCCCGGAAAAGTCCAAAAGTTGAAGAGAGGAGAGGAGCTGGAAGGGAGTGATAAAAACAGGAGCTGACGCTAGCATCACAGCAGCTGGTGTGGTGGTGCACACCTGTCAACCCAGCACTCAGGAGGCTGAGGCAGGAGGATCACTGAGTTCGAGACCAGCCTGGGCTACATAGTGAGTTCCAGGTCAGTCTCAACTACATAGTGAGACCCTGTCTCAAAAAAACAAACAAACAAAAAAAACACACAAAAAAAACAGCCAGGCATGATGGTACACACTTGTAATCCCAGCAGTCTGGGAGGCTGAGGCAGGAGGATCCAAGTTTGAGCCCAGCCTGGGCAATTTAATGATTTAGCAAGATCCTGTCTCAAAAAAAAAAAAAAAAAAAAAAAAGCCCACATAACAAAAAATAAAACAAAATTAACAGGAGGCTTAGGGGTGTAGCTCAGTGTGAAGGCCCTGAGTACAGAGAAAAAACAAACAAGTGGCAGTGAGGAGCCCTCCAGGATCATTTCTTTCTTTTTTTTTTTGTACCGGGGATTGAACTCAGGACCTTGAGCTTGCGAGGCAGGCACCACTGAGCTAAATCCCCAGCCCTTTGGATCATTTCTCTATTGGTGATAGACTGAGAAAAGCCAGGGAGAAGGGCTGGCCAGAGAGTGGACAGCACCCTCAAGGCGTGAGGAAATGCTGTTAGGCTGGACAGGGTGCTGGAGGGTGAGAGGCGTTTCCCAGGCTTGCGGGGACTTGCAGGATCTGAGCCTGGGGAGGGGGGTGGCTGTGGCCATACAGAGGGTGGAAGTTCCACAGAAAGTGTTTTGTTTCTTTGGTTTATGGTGGGATTGTTTTTGGTTTGGTTTGGTTTTATTTTTGAGGCAGGGTCTCAGGATGGAGTCCAGGCTGGCCTTGAACTCACAGCAGTCTTCTTGCCCTAGCCTCTTGAGTTCTAAAATCACTGGTGTGCAACACCATGCCTGGCTCAGGAAACATTTTTTAAAAATAAATTTCCTGGCCGGGCGTGGTGGCGCACACCTGTAATCCCAGCACTTGGGAGGCTGAGGCAGGAGGATCGCTGTGAGTTCGAGACCAGCCTGGGCTACATAGTGAGTTCCAGGTCAGTCTCAACTACATAGTGAGACCCTGTCTCAAAAAACCAAAACAAAAAAAAATTTTTTTCGTTCTATTTTATTCCCCCCCACCAAAGCCTCAGGAAATGTTCTTCACAGCCTTTTACCCTCTGTACAAAAAAATCCCCTACAACATAAAAATTCTACCTGACTCCACCCTCCCAGGATGGACCCCAGGGCCACCCAAGCTTGGCATGTGCTGCATCACTGAGCTACAGGTCCATATCCCCGTCTAGTTTATCCCTATCCAGTGTTGCAGGCTGTGGAAAAACAGCTCCCAAAAAGAGAGCTCTCTCACTGCTGAGCCAGACATGGTGGTGCACACCTGTGATCCCAGCACTCTAGGAGGCTGAGGCAGGAGGCTCACAAGTTTGAACCCAGCCTGGGTTACTTAGTGATGTAATGAGACCCTGTCTCAAAACAAAAAAGGGCTGGGACATAATTCAGTGTGAAGACTTTGGGTTCAATCCCTAGTACTACAAGAAAACTCTCTTTTGGTGTAGAGTACTCACTTAGCTTGTATGGCCCTTGGTTCAATCCCCAGCACCTCAAAACAAAAACAAAAAAATTTAAAAACCTGGGTAGCTCTGGCTGGCTTTGAACTCACTGCGTATCCCAGGCTGGCCTCAAACTTGTGGAGATTCTCCTCCCTCAGCCTCAAGAGTGCTGGGATCACAAGCGTGTGCTACCACATCCAGTGACAGGAGGATCTCTTGAGCCAAGGAGTTTAAGGCTAAATTGAGCAACATGTTAGTGAAAACTGGTCTCCAAAAAACCCCAAACTTCCCTAACTCCTGTTATAACTCTGTCTCCCTCTATACTATTTAAATGCAGAACTGTTTAGTACCCCACTCAAATGCCCATCTGAGTGTCCCATTCCAGCTGTGACAGATGGATGATGCAGGTAACACACTGTCCCCTGTTCCCTGGGTCAGCACCTAGGGCCCCCCACTGTGACTCTGTCTCACGCTTGCCTCTGCTGCTCTCCAGATGAGTGACTAAGACGGAGGATATGACCTTCTGACCCTCCACTTCCTCATCTGTAAAGTGACCACAATAACAATACCCACCTCATAAACTTTATAATATTAGCAGAGGACTATGTGACATATTATAAACAAAAGCTTTGCACAATGCCTAGCACACATAAATGCTCGATAAATTAGAGCTATTATTATAGAGTTCAAATTATCCTAGCTGTTTTCTTCTCTTTTCTTTTCTTTCTTTCTTTTTTTTTTTTTTTTTTTTTTTTTTTTTTTTTTTTTTGAGACAGGGTCTCACTATGTAGTTTAGACTGACCTGGAACTCACTATGTAGCCCAGGCTGGTCTCGCACTCACAGTGATTCTCCAGCCTCAGCTTGCCTGAGTGCTGGGATTACAGGCGTGCACCACCACACCCGGCCTTCATTCTTTTTTGAGACGGTCTGGCTATGTAGTTCAAGCCAGCCTCAAATTATATAACCCAGGCTGACCTCAAATTCAGAGATCTTCCTGCCTCAGCCTCCCCAGTGCTGAGATTACAGGTATGTGCCACCACACTGGTGCCCTTTTTTTTTTGAAAGAAGTCAGATCCCCACAACTGAACAATACTTGTCAATAAAACCTCTTAGTTGTACAAAATGCACAACCATGCAGGGTCTTCCCTGTTGCACACTTGCAAGTTTAAATGTTTCTAACATAAATGCAGAGCTTCCCATGTTCCTTTGAGAGCCAGCACCTATTTATCATCATCTAGCGATGTAGGCTGCTGAGCTTTCCTCTTCAGCAGTAACAGGGCACCCGTACCCGGGGCTCAGCACTGGGCTGCCAGCCACTCATCCGCTTTCCCTCATTTCACCTTCGCAATGTTATTATCCCAGTCTGACAGGAAACCTTGGTTTAGAGATGGTACAGCACCTGCATCGGCATACCAGAAGATCCAGGACTCAAACCAGGGCTCCAGGGATTCATTATTGTTATTGTTTTTTATGCTGGGAACTGAACTCAGGGCTTCCCCACTGACCTACATTCCCAGCTTTTTTTTTCGACATTTTATTTTGAGACAGAGTCTCACTAAATTGCTAGGTTGCCCAGTCTGGGCTTGAATCTGTGATCCTCCTGCCTCAGCCTCCTGAGTGCCCCCACTCCCAGCTTCCCCAGCCTTTTTGATGTTGCCAACTTCACTTGTGTGCATATGAGGGAGGCCTGTGGCTCCAAGCATGAACTCTGGAGAGAGGATCATCTAGAAGATAAAGCACATCACGTAAGTACTCACCCAATATCTGCCCTGCCCATCGCTGCCTTGTTCCAATTGCTACACTTGTCACCAATCTGACACAAGGTATCCTAAAAAATCCACATTGAATGAGTCATAGAGAAGAGAGGAGAAAAGAAGGCAAAAGGAAGATGAGGTAGAGACAGGGAATGAGAAGGAGAGGGAAGAGTGGGGACAGAAAAAGAGGGAGAATAAGAGAAGAGATGATGGAGCTAGAAGACAGACCGATGTGCCCAGCCCAGCCTGTGATCCTTTGTTTGCTGTAATTGTACATTTTTTTTTTTTTTTTTTGGATACAGGGTCTCACTGTGTAGTTCAAACTGGCCTTGAACTCACAGTGATCTTCCCACCTCAGCTTCCCAAGTGTTGAGATCACAGGCATGCGCCACCATGCTGGGCTCTAAAATATACCTTGAGAGGCCAAAGTTGTCCAGTACACCCTGCTTCAGCCTCCACTTCTCCCCAAAAACGAACGGCCCTGAAAGCCCACACTTATCCTCACTTATCTCTTGCCCTGCTCACTCACAAGTGGGCTCTGGGCTCTGAGACGCCTCAGTTTCCTGGTGTGGCTCAGCGCTACCTTCCTGCCCCACTTCCTCTTCCTGTCTCCCATTCCCTGGAGAGGAGGACCGCTGACAACGCTACCCCTAGCCAAGCTGCATCCATCACCCCTCAGCCAGCTTTGCCAGGGCAGAACCCCAGAAACCCAAGCCAGCTCCTGCCTCACCCCTCTTCCCAGGAGCTCCAGCGGAGGGGGAAGCAGCCGCAGCTGTCCCCAACACTATTGCCTTGGAGATGACAAGCGAGGACAGAGCCCAGAGTCTGCAGCAGGAGTTGGGTTGACTCAACTCAGGAATCTGCCTTTAGGTAGAGGTCAGCAGGAGCCAGGCCCTTGCCGCAGTCTCGTAACTTCAGTGGAACGTCCAGCATCAACAAGTTTCCGGCGCCCGCCCCTCCAACACCGCCACGGGGCTGCAGTGGCCCTTGCCACCGCCTCTGCTCGGGTTGCAGCTCTCAGGCCAAGCCTGGCCCTTAGCTCTGAGGTCACCTCGTCCCCAACCACTTCCTAGCAGAGGGCTCCGAGTGCCTCGAGGTCCCTACCATGGGATCCCCTTAACCTCGCAAGGGTCACATCAGGCAGGTATTGCTGACCCCACTTCAAGGTGCGGAAAGGGAGGCTCAGGGAGGTTAAGTGACTCGCCCCGGGTCACAGAGCCGGGATCCCAGCCCGGAGTCTGGCTCCTAAGCCGGTGCCAGCGACCAGGGCAGCGGAGGACTCTGCGAGCCCGACGGGGTGCCTGCCGCTGTCCCTAGCTCCCCGGGGAAGAGGGTCGGCTCGGCTCCCGCTCCCGGCCGCTGTCACCT